TCTTTTTAAAATACAAATTTAATGTCCCTTTCGTGGTTCAAAATCTTGAGTGCCTAAATCATTTTTTTTTTTTTTTTTGCTATACGTGGGCCTCTCACTGTTGTGGCCTCTCCCGTTGCGGAGCACAGGCTCCGGACGCGCAGGCTCAGCGGCCATGGCTCACGGGGCCCAGCCGCTCCGCAGCATGTGGGACCTTCCCGGACCGGGGCACGAACCCATGTCCCCTGCATCGGCAGGCGGACTCTCTCAACCACTGCGCCACCAGGGAAGCCCTCTTCCTCCTTTTCTTGATACGCCCAGTTCTGTTTTGGAGTCTGCATAGCACCTGGCACAGTGGGAAAGCAGATGTTTGCTGAGTGACTTAGCGAGAGCTGCCCTACTTCTCACTGCTCCCTTTTTTCTTCCCACAGGTCCCCAAGGTGAACAGGGTAAGTTCCTCTCATTCAGTGCTGGAGGGTGGGGAACTGAACTAGGATTTGGAGGATGGAAGGCCTCAGGCAGCCCTGTGGGTAGAGACCCAGGAGGGGAAGGGGGCTGGGCAGCCCTGCACTGAGCATCCACTCTGACACCCTCCCCACCCCACCCAGGAGCAGAGGGGGCACCAGCAGCCTCTGTGCCCCGGGTGGCCTTTTCAGCTGCCCTGAGTTTGCCCCGCTCTGAACCAGGCACAGTGCCCTTCGACAGAGTCCTGCTCAACGATGGGGGCTACTATGATCCAGAGACTGGTAAGCCTGGGAGTGGGCAGCTGGGCACTGGGGGGAACAGGGGAGGCTGTGCAGTGATATGTCTCCATCTTGCCGTTTCAGACAAGCTGAGCCTTTTCATTCTCTGGTTTGGGGAGACCCCTATTCTCTCCTTCATTTAGTCATTCTCACCACAGCTTGGACTGAGGGGTGAGGTGGTGGGGGAAAGCCTATCCTTCCGCAGCTCTTTAGGGGGCCTCTTCTTGCCCAGGAACGGTTTTAAGTGCTGGGGATGCGGAAATGAACAAAACACTGGTTTCCCTGCCGTCCGTGGAGCTCACGTTCTAGTAAGAAGAGAGGTGAAGAGACCCAGAGGGTCCCTCCGCACGTAGTCCAGGCGTTCTGCAAGGGCTGCCGGACACCTTCCCGGCCCCTGCCACCTGTCTCCCTCCTGATTGCCACTGTTGTCCCCAGGCGTGTTCACGGCGCCTCTAGCCGGACGCTACTTGCTGAGCGCGGTGCTGACTGGGCACCGGCACGAGAAAGTGGAGGCCGTGCTGTCCCGCTCCAACCTGGGCGTGGCCCGCATAGACTCCGGTGGCTACGAGCCTGAGGGCCTGGAGAATAAGCCGGTGGCCGAGAGCCAGCCCAGCCCGGGCGCCCTAGGCGTCTTCAGCCTCATTCTGCCGCTGCAGGCCGGGGACACGGTCTGCATCGACCTGGTCATGGGGCAGCTGGCGCACTCGGAGGAACCGCTCACCATCTTCAGCGGAGCCCTGCTCTACGGGGACCTGGAGCTAGAACAGGCATAGACAGGGAGCCGGGCCCCACCGGCCCGAAGTGTCTACGCCGGCCAAACAGCCAGCGGGGGTGGGGTGGGGGTGGGCTCCGGGGCGTCTCGCCTGGGACGGGGCCCCGACCCGGGGCAAGCTGCAGTCTCTGTACCCGCCGCAGCAGCGCAGGCGCCCAGAGCAGCGACCTTCCCACGGTCGGAGTGCGCCGGGTCGGGGACTCTGGGGTCTCCTCGTCCAGACTTTTGGCCTGATCGCCGTCCCTGCAAGACTCGGACTGCGGAGGAGCTAATCCTCGCATACTTTGCTCCCCCAACTGGCCTCTAGGCCGAATCCCTGGGCTCCGGGACTCTCTCGAGGGGGCTCCAGCCCCCACCGCCATGCTAAACTATTCAGGAATAAAGACACTTGGGTTTTCTAAAAAAAAAAAAAAAAAAAAAAAACGAAACTAAACAAGCTGTCTGCTCTACTATGTGTTCAGGGGTAGATAGGCGTATACAGGGGACGGGGTGAGGGAGCCCCGGGTTCCGGACCCTGCTCGCGCCCTCCGCTCTGGCAGGGATAGCTCTGCCTGCACTTGCACTGGACGCGCGGGCGAGAAGTGCGCCCGGGGCTTGGAGCCCTAGCCGGGCCCCACTACTGGTCGCGCCTTTTCCGCCGGCGTCCGCCAGAGGGCGCTGGGAGCCCAGACCGCGGCGCCGCTGGGCGGGGTCTCCCGTCACGTGACCTCCGCCGCTCATCTTGCGTGCCCCAGCCGCTCAGTGGCGGAGGCGAGGCCTCGAGTTGGGATTGGCTGGGCCTCGGGGGCGGGGCGGGACAGCGGGGACCGCGCGAGCCGCGGCTCTGGATGCCGGGGTCCGGGCCGCAGCTGCGAGGCCAGACTCAACCCCGCGGGCCTAGGGTCTGGAGAGGGAGTCGCGGGTGCAGGAGAGGGCGGGACAAGCGATGCCTTTCTGCTGCACTTTCTCTTGGCATTCAAGAGGTTGCCTAGCTGCGCTTCAGAGAGATTTCTATTAGCTCGGAGTCCGTCTGACAAGTGAGGAAACTGAGGGCGAGAATTTGAAGGCGTAGCCATCTCCTGGGCCACGCAACCTGCTAAGGGGAGGCCAGGGACCAAGACCGCGGGGTCTGCACTCCCAGGCCCGCTGGGGTCGATGCGCGCGGGGAGCAGGAGCCCGGCTCCGCCCTCTGCACCCCACTGCACCCCTCGCCGCTGCAGGAGGCTCCTTGGAGGAGGAGCTCGGGACGCGGAGGAGGAGCCAGGACAGACTGGGAGCTGGGACACGATCCTCCGGGATAAGAGGCAGAGCCCGGGAGGAACCCCGTCAGCCGAGCGGGCAGAAATCTTCGGGAGCAGCATCATGGAAGAGAAACAGATTCTGTGCGTGGGGCTAGTGGTGCTGGACATCATCAGTGTGATGGACAAATACCCGGAGGAGGACACGGACAGCAGGTAGGGGCGCCCGGGCCCCTCGGAAACCCTAGGGGCCGCTGCAGCCCCGCGTTGTGCCAGGCGGCCAAGACTACAGGGCTGCGGAGCAGGGGGGTGGGGGTGGGGTGG